AATCAGTGTGAGGCTAATTCAAGGACCTGAGCTGAGGGGCGTGTCTGTCAACTAATAACACACTGTATTGAAATGAGGAAAGTGACTGTGTCCATCTCCCTTGGTTTCCAATTTGTAGACGGAATGCTTGATCGTGACAGAGGTGTTTGTCAGGGTGACTGTTTCTGTTTTGGTTTAAATGTGTGTGGGATGTTTCATGGTCAGTGCTTGTGTGTGCGGCTGTGGAAACGTGCGTAACGTTTGGCCACTGATGCATACGCCAACGCAGACGCTACATCTCGTCCTCAGACTCCTGCTCCCTCTCTCTGCTCTTCAGCAGACCCATTTCCATGGTGGGCATCTTCCTGATCCTTGAACGCACCAGCCTGTACAAGAAAAATACCCAACGCCAAGTTTACCACCAGCCCCGTCTCTCCCTCACACCTCATTGGATCACACAGCTGACCGGGTCTCTTACTGGTTTCCTCACAATTCGGTGCCATAAATAATCAAACAAACCAGTGAAATATTCCCCTAAGCAGCCCGCCATTGGCATGCAAGGGTGCAAGAGCCTGTGAAGGACCACGGTGTCTCTACCTTCAAACCGCAACCTGCTACTGACCCCCAGATGCACCACGTTTTTGCTCCCTCCCAGCCCCCAGTCAGACCATCCTACCAGACCTGGGAGGGAGCAAAAACGTGGACCGTCTGGGGGACACTAGGACCAGACAGGGAAGCAGTGCTGTGGGTAGAGGGCAGTTGTGGAGAAAGTATCTAAAAACCATACTTCAGAAAATTAGCGATACCTTACTAGGAAAATTAAAAGTTAAGTCACCCATTAAAATACCATTTGCGCAAAAGTTCTAAAGTATCTGATATTAACAGAACTTAAGCATCAGAAGTATGTAGCTGCTATTAAATGGTAAGGCTTAAATAAAATTTTGGTAGTCAGTTAGGTACAATAACCTTCCGTGTCTGTTTCCACAAGAAAAACTTGATGCTGTCACAATACTTTTGCACACAACAGGCCTAATGTTGAATTCTCTTCCAATACTTATTATTAACTGCCCTGGATCCATTCAAAGAACAAAGGGCAGAATAAATGGGCTAATAACCATAAACCTAAAATGACAAAGACATGTCCAGTATAGTGTGCTTTATCACACAGAGTATAGTGACCAGTATAGTGTGCTTTATCACACAGAGTATAGTGACCAGTATAGTGTGCTTTATCACACAGAGTATAGTGACCAGTATAGTGTGCTTTATCACACAGA